GGTACATATAATTTTAATCTTTATATCGCGTTCCGATATGTTTTGTAGTAAATCAGTCATGGTAGATTATACATGACGTAAGGATATTTTATAGATATTTAAACTGAAACTCAAGGGGCTTTGTGTCATGGCAAATGCTACGTAACGTATGTTCCCCAGAAAAATTGTCAAAAAGCTTTATTTTGCCCAAGTACTTGTGCAGTAAGAAACAGGGTTTTCTGTTGCTGGCAAATAATTAAATTAATGCTCTTTTTCCTGTCAGTAGGGTGTGTATTCCCCCTTTTTTGATATTTAGTGACAAGCAAACTAAAGCCGCTCGAAAAATAACTGCTCAATACAGAAGATTATCATATTTTTTACAATGTTATACTTGTAAGAGATAAAGGACAAAACCAGGGATGATTGAATTTTCAAAGTGAGTGAAACGTTTGCACAGCTGGAAGTTTTGCATTTGTGACAGTAACGTACAGTATGTTCCTTTTTGGGGATAGATGATGATGAATTATTATTATTTTATTCATGTACGACCCTAAAATAATCAAACATAGCCTGCAATCTGCGCACTTAATAATTTAAGAGAATGCCTGTGACCCCATTGTACCTCTATATTGTGTTTAGGTGATTGACACCATGGCAATAATAGCACTAAAGGCAGAAACGAGTTTAGAATTGGACATCAATGAAGTAACAGAGGGGAATTGCCATTAACTTAACATGGCTTTTTTTCCCAATTTATACACGTACATTATAAATGTACAGAGGGGCGACATAAGTATTGCACCATGTATGTGAATAGTGCGCAGGTCCAGAGATATTTTCTGACAGTCTTCCAAATTATACGTGTTGATCCATCCTCCATTTCTGACCGTCTTCCGACAAACAAAATTAGATACCCGTCAAATTAATGTAAACTTGAAAATCTGACCGTCTTCCGGAAGACCCAGAAGACAGCCTCAATCTGCCCCTGTGCAATGTGATATGGGGGTATCCGTTCTTGAAAAGTGATTGGCTGGTGACACTGGAGATGCTCATAAAGTACCCGAAAGTGGCCGTCTAAAGAAGACTAGTGCCAGAGACAACGGGTGTCTTGGCATGCTGTCAAGGCTTTGGGGAACTGAACCGTACAGCATATTAGCTCTGCAATGGCCGCACAATTTGCAGGTTGGGATAAGCTAAAGGACTATTGAAAGAAATTTCTATAATTAATGAATTCGCACCAAGATTCCGAGGTGGAAACCACTTATCACTGACTGACATGGGCTGCAAGAACCCTAAATATGGTTTCAAAACATTTCCATTTTAGCAAGCGTAAATTCCGTGTATAGATTGTGCTAAAAGAATAAATAAATAAATAAATAAATATTGTAAGCCGTTAACCACACCAAATGTGCCAAATTTTCGTAATTCGTCAGTAAAAAAACATAACTTATTGTCCTTTCGGAACAATTTATACCTTCTTACCAGTAGAAAACCCTATATTGTCTGTAACGAGACTAATTTGACCTTAGCGTTTTTAAAGGGCCTGTCTTGTTTGTTTTCCTGTAGGAGTACTCGCTCGCTTTTCTAGCTTTCTTATGATAGTATCAGTCAAGGTAACAGGGGAGTAGGTTTCAATTTTACTGCTCCTATTGGCTGGCTAACTTACCACATTGATAAGAAAAAGTTTTAGTCTTAATGTTCAAGTCGTGGCATAATGGCAAGGAATATGAAGCTAACGGACCCAAAGGTAATTACTTTGGGATATTTGGAGTTCATAACACTTTCAATATTTGACACTCGCAAAAATCGGTATAGCATGCTATAGCATATCTAATCGTATTTTCCGGTCAGGCCTTATGGGCAACATTGCATGGACCGTAGGTCAGAACTGGCGCCATTTTGTACTTTCTGACGAGTCCATCTTCACGGTGAATAAAGCGGGTGGACAGGCCAGAGTATAGAGTACATCTTTCACTCCGTAGGCCGCATTCAGAACGAGTTGATCTGCGGACTAGCTTTGATCCACGGACTAAATATGGCTGACCCACTTAAAAGCGATGTTGCTAATTCCTTGATGGGTTCCCCGCCTCCACACGCGCCGCTGCTGCAGGGGGCAAGCAATTAAACTTCGGAGCCGATCTTTAATCAGTTTAATGGCGCGTGTGGACTCGGGTAGACCCCATCAGGTATTAGGGCGGCTTGCTCTTTAGTATGGTCGGCCGTATTCAGTCGGCGGACCAGTTAGTCCGCGGCTCATCTGTTCTGTCTGCACTCTCATATGCTAGAGAATATTTGCATTTCCTCACTGGACAGTCCACTTCAATAATGGTTTGGGGGTACATTGGTCTTTACGGAATTTGTGTGATAGGTGCCAAGCTTCCGATTATTTAAGTTTCAATTGCGGTGGTTGGTCTGTAATTCATACGGAGCAATTGTGACAGAAGTGATACTTCCCGTAGTTCAAAGTGTCAGTTGCGGTAGTTGATCTATAATTTATACGGAGCAATTGTGCCAGGTGTGACACTTTCCATAGTTCAATGTGTCAATTGTGGTAGTTGGGTTGGACCAGCTTGAGTAAATTACACGGAACTTCCCATATGTCAACGTATCCATTGCTATAGTCGGCCTGGACTAACTAACGAAATATAAACGGATTAATTGCGATAGGTGTCCCAACGTTCAAAAAGTCAATACTTGAATTGCGATAGGTGTCCCAACGTTCAAAAAGTCAATACTGGAAGTTAGGACGGACCGACCTGCATAATTTATAAGGATCAGTTACGATATATGCCATGCTTCCCATAGTTCAAATTGTCAGTTGCGGTATTTGTGCTAGATTCATTTGTGTAATTAACATGGGCCACTATTGACAGGTGCCATCCTTCCAGTAGTTCAAATTGTCTGTTGTGGTAGTTAGGCTGGACTAAATTGTGTAATCAACAGAGACTAATAAACTAATAGACTAATAATTGGTGGCTTTTTAGCGACAGCTTTTTTCGCTTGGGCGCGACTTACAGGGGCAGAAGGCCAGCTGGTTAAAACTAATTTAGATATAATCGCAAATCCCCTTCGATTGTAAGTTTAAGTCACCTGTATGTGCAGGTTCCAAATTTATTCACAGTAGTTCAAGCCTGCAGACCAAAAGTTTATGTATTACAATAATAATATATTGAGATGGCCAATACGGCAACAAACGACCAGCACCTTTTACCATCGGTAGAAAACATCTTTGAGGGCAGTATACCATCTGTTCATTTCCCAAAATGATTACGCTACACCCCACAGGGCCAGAGCTGTACAAAAGTGGCCGGAATGGTTGTCCTAGGGAAGGAAGTCCGGGGTCCCATATTGGTACAGGTTAGGGTTAGTCAAAGTTTTGGTATTAGTATATGGGACGAATATCACTTGTACAAAGTACATGTAATAGGGAACTGACTACGGTTCCAGCGGAGTACCATTCTTGTCACATCGCTTAGTACTAAGCGTCCTTTAGAAAACAAGGGCCGGATGATTATTGTTCTATTATTTCCATTAATATCAATCACTGGGTAATGTTCCATGATATTGGGATGATGTAATTTAGGTAATTTGGTGCAAATGACTCAACAACTGCTGTACTGCTGTATTTTAATAACCATGTACAATGATAATCAAGAGGAAAACCAAATGGCCCATGAAATAACCAAAGTTCTGAACTACATTCTCAAAAAGGAACTTTTCTCCCAGTCAACTTCGATAAAGGCACAGACTGGATTGGTATTGGGGCGGGGTCTGCCTGGGACTGCCTGGGACTCAGTCTTATCAAAATAATCTTGTAACAGTTAACCCAGTCCTGCCAATGGGCTACAGTACAAGGCACTATCTGGTAGTACAATGCTATCCCGAGTATGTCTGTCTATGTTTGCCTGGAAACCGACTTTCTTTGAAAGTTTAGCCTCTTTAAAACAATTTTCAGTCTATGGCTCTTGCTTTGCTGAATGCTATGGTTCAACCAAGTTTTCGTGACGTTACCATGATTCCATCACGCTAGAGAAGGGGACGCTGGGTCAGTAGTTAGTAATAGTAGACTGTAAAAGCTGGAGACCAACCAGTATCTAACACCTGTGGACCGATACCTGGTAATTACAGCTGAAAATTGCTTCTGAAATCAACAAAATCAACCATATTGATCATTACAGCACATAGGGGGAATACATATAGGAACAGCTGATCATAAACAATGAAGTAGATATCCACTTCCTTGAATACCGGCATATTGCGTTTTTATTTTTAATGATGTCTGTGTTAAAACATAAAGCTCCCAATGTTGCTGAACAAACAGAGTTTGAATCATAAAAAGAAAAATATTCAGTTTGTTAAAACTCTGAAGTTCCAAGATCGCGGCGTGCATTTTCTGTCTGTAATAATGTTCATTAAAAGTGGCTCCCCCCCTTTCTGCAAAAGATGTTTTCCTATAGTAGAGGAAGTTTTTTTCAAATGCTAGGACCCCCCCCCCCCCCAGGGGCGGCTTGAGGCTGTCTTCTGAGTGTTCGGGAAGACGGCCAGATGTTCAAGTTTACATTGACGGGTAAATAATTTTTTCTGTCGGGAGACGGTCAAAAATGAAGGATGGATCAACTAAGATAATTTGGAAAACTGTCAGAAAACAGCTTGGAATCCGCCCCTGCCCCCCCCCCTCCAGTCCCAGGCCCCTCAATGGTAGAGACCCCATGCTAGCACTTACGCAGAAACAAGTTTATATATTGGACAACAATGAGGAAACATGGGGGAAATGCCATTAACTAAACATGACTTTAAATTTTTCAATTTATACACATACATTATACATGTACATCTGCCGACATGTTTCACTGAAAGTTCTATAGGTCGCACAATGCAACGAGTCGATCGTATATTTCATATATACCGATTAAGGTAATTTGCAGCGAAAATTGGACGGTTGCGTTAACGTCACATTTATTTAATTTCCTGGCGGTAAATGGTAATTTGTGAGACAACCATATAAAAGACCAATAGTTGTAGCATCTGTAATCTGTTGCGGCTGAGGCGACGAGTTTATTTCATTGTGAAATCTGCGAAACAAACCAAAAGAACAAGTAAGCAATCCACGTGAGTAGAAACAATGGACTCGAGCTGGTTGTGGACCAGCATTTAGATTCACTGTGGTGCTTCAATAACAGTTTGCCTCTGTAGTATTTCACTATAGATATATGTATAAATTAAAATTGTTCTTGGATTTTATTCAATTTTAGTTTATTTCCCACATTTCGTCCAAAATCTCTTATCATTCTTTGAAACTAGCAAAGTCTCTGAACTGCCTTTTTGAAGTAGGACTCTGTTTATGTCAAAGTGTGTGTGGGGGGGGGGGGGGAGAGAGACATGACCTGTCTCACATCTGGGACAGTGTTATAGTGAAAAGTTGTCACTAAACTGTTCACTAGACACTGCCACGTAACTTCAGTGAGACTGGTGAAGTCCCAAGTGTTGGGAAGAAAGCTCTCAGGTACGCTTTCAGCTTATTATTTGGTCGAGATTAGCGAAAAGGTACATATTTAAGTAGTTATTTCCATGAGATACGTAGTGAGAGGACATATGATTCATGGTACAGTAATGTCTCATTGCCTCAGTTTTACACCGTAAATGGAAAAATGCTGTAAGGTGGCGCATGTGTTTGACAAGTAGCTGAGAAAGACTGGTGTTCGGCTACCAGGTGGACGTACGAAAGATGGAAGAAGGGTATAACATGCTTGGGAAAGAGAATATGCCCAAGTCCTTCTCTGCTGAACACAGTGTGTGTTGCTTAGGGGGGGTAATGTATTATTTCCAACTGCTTCGGTAACCAGACTTATTAGTACCTTGGACATAAGAACGTTATTATGTCCAGGTTTGTACTATATACAGAATCTTTATCTATGGAATGATACCGTGACGTGGTATTTTGTATTCACTGTATTATTTGCACCTTTTTAGAATGCGGGCCCTGTTGGTGATTTTGCTAATTGCGGGTATTGCAGCTTTCTCGGGATCGGTTCGTTACCCTCCAGCTGACAATGGAAGTATGCAAACAAGTTTTAATATTTAATATTCAAATATGCTGGTGTGACTGGAATGGTAGTCCTAGGAATGGAAGTCCATGCTCCCATATGATTGGTACTGGTAAGGGTTAGTTGAATTATTGGGGTTAAAGTATGGAACGATTAACACCTGTGCAAAGTAATGGGGAACGGACTAAGGCTCCTAGCGGACTTCATTCCTGTTACACCTGGTTCCATCCACTATTTTTGAATAAGAGACTTAAGCAGGCTGATGAGAGTAACACGCACGCACTCATTCTCGTTGAGACTTGTGTCTCGTATTAGGTTAAGACCAATTTTCGGACTTAGATTCTTTTTAAACAGCGTCCATCAGTATTGCTGTAACTGTATGTGTTTGTTCATCTTACTCCGTTTTCCTTAGAGTGCCCCGGTGATCTGGTGATCCTGAAAGACCAATCAAAATGTGCCTGGAAGTGCCCGACCACGTGCACGTCACATGACCCTCCGCCGTGCGTCAGGCTGTGCTGGAAAGGCTGCGTGTGTCCCAAGGATAAACCGATCCTACTGTCACCTGATCCCTGGACATGTGGAACCAGGGCGGATTGCAATGCTGCCTAGACAACCGAGCCATGGTGCATAAATATGCGTCAGAAGATTTTGAAAATAGAAAAGAGGAAGAAATAAAATCTAACTTGATTGAAAATTATGAAATCCATTCAGAATTGTTTTTTAAACTACTATTTGTGTATTCCCTAAAAAAACTTTCTGCTTTTTTCATTTTATACATCCAACGGCTGTCGCTATAAACATTAGGTTTGTGTCGTAATAAATGCTAACGAAAATTTATGCGCAAAACCTAAAGTTTTTTCCTGTTATTATTCCGAGAAAAAATAAAAATGCCCGTTTAATATAAACAATTAATTTTTCCGTGTCAACAAAACGAGCAAACTGGGCGACGTCAGACATCGTCACAATATGGACACCGTTTTTATTCGTTAGATTATTAAGGAAGAGGCAATGAGTACAATGTAACGTTTGAACTACGCAGACGTCCTCGAGAAGACTGTGCTGGTCGCAGGCCTTAAAATTCCTATACAAGGTATATCCTTAAATTAAACTACTGACTTGAGAACGATAAGGAGTCTTCAACGAATATTTTTCTTCCCAATTGTAATCGTCTTCTTGTCTTTCATCTACACTCAGAAAAAAACTAAAAAAAAAAAAATGAAACAAAAACACACGTGTTGGAGGCGTTAAATAAAGAGATTAGTTGTCATACTTTTGTATATCTCACGTATAACCAAGTCAGTGAAATCGTAAAACGTTGGGAATGAGTGACAGTAACAGAAATAGAGTATCAATCATAAAAATGTAAGAGGAAACGGTTTTAAGGCACCATCATTATCCCTTGTCCCCAAACTGACCCTTTAAGTATTCTTTACAGTTCGTTTTTTTTGTCTTGTGGCCACCCATTGAACCTTGAATAACCTTTGGTTAAATTAAGCCTTTGTAAATGAATGTTGTAGTACGTATAACAAAGGAGAAGCTTTGCAACTGTCATTATTCAGTGAAGAGAGATACAGCAGTTGTCAACACTGAGAACGTACGTCTAAGTCACAAACCCCTGGTCTAGACTATGCATATAAAGTATAGTAGACAAGCATCTTAACTGTATCTTAACAAATACAGCTTATATTACACGTACCTCTAAAACCGCGATAAACCGAGGAAAAGCACTTTGAGAAAACAGTAATTAGAGAGTCCAGTACTGTTGTAGAAAGAATCAGCTATAATTGAAGAAAACATTCTTGAAAAAACATATCCAAATCCATCGACTTTTTTGGAGGCTAAATCAATGTATATCGACCTTAGAAACCTCGCTCGCACACGAAGCCGTGAGCCACTCCACAAGCACCTCTCGTCATTCTGAGGTTTTGTGCACCATCCAAGAAGACACACCGACCAGTGTCAGGGTCCCCAGTGACGTCCACTTTCACAGAGTGACCATCCCCCGCCCACATCAAAGTACCGCGTTCCATCAGGTCGTTGCCGCTGATCCACCATTTATCGATCCCTGAAAAAGAAAACCAGGCAATATTGAACTATCGTACCGACTAGTATTATATTTTTATGTGTATTTGTATATTTTTAGTAGAAAGATTTTCCATTTACTGTCTTACTAGACTTCATGTGTAAATATTGCATTATTTATAGAAATGTTTGTCCTTACTCAGTCACAGAATAGCTGCAAAGCTAATGTTTCCTTTCAATTTATACCCGACATGAAATAAAATATATTGTATTGTATTGTATTGTATTGTATTGTATTGTATTGTATCTTCAAACGTGCAGAAACACAGCTGTGGTTTTGAACACTCTGTTCTTAACTACTAGTAACAGTGTATTAGAAATTGGGGAATTGACCGTGAGGCAGTGTACTACATACAGACTTGGTCAAAAAGGTTGACCCACCTCTGATACTGTGCATTTTTGCTTACAAATGATCACCTCACATTTGTAAACCAATTTGTACAGGATTTTTTTTTATTCCAGATACCACATCTGACACGAATCATGGTACAGAATGCAAAATATCGGGGAAGATTTCCATATTTTTATCAGTTATTAAATTTAGAGCATGCAACCCTTAAATCTCGGGAATCTGGTGTTCCACAATGATTACCAGAGGTGAAAAAATGTCCTTAAAATAAAAAAGACAACACCAAATGTACAAACAATGAGCATTAGCATGTGCTCGTTAAAAGCCACGTGTCTAATAGCGTGCATGTCTACTGCGTACTTCAATTATCTCCTGCGGTGCGCCATGCTTTCAGCAAGGGAAAGAATTCTGTATTGTGGAAAATTGTCTCATTCTTCCAAAATAGCTTGGTGGGGGGATGGCCCAAATTTTGGGGGGATTGATTCTCCTCTGTATTGCACACATCAAGGTTCTCAGTAGGGTTAATGTAAGGGCTCAAAGATCGTTGCTTAATCCTCAGAACATTGCATATCTGCAAATCACTCACAGACGAGAATTTTGAGCAAGTGCGTTGTCACGATGAAGCCTGTATTATCCCTGAAGTCACCTCTTGCCAATGGGATGAACACAAACACATGGGATTTATAGTGGGAAAACCTTTTTGACCAAGTCTGTGAAGTCTTTGGTAATACTTTTAATCGGGAGTTTTAGTTATATACGCCCCCTCTAATATAAATGTCTTCAAAAGAAGCTAAACGAACTAAAGAAAAACAAAAGTTTATCAGTATAGATAATAGAATTTAGTTTAAAATATGTCCTGACCATAACAAGGATAATTCCCATGAGATGTTCATGAGATGATTACCTTGACCTCCTTTCAAAGTCAAGGTCACAATCAATTTAAGTATTTTTGAAAGAACATTCCTGCATCTGTATCAAGGTAAAATTTCAATACCTCGTGTGATTTAAGAGACAGACACTGAAAGAAGTGCCCGCGTTAATCATCGTAAAATCTGCCTTAACCAGTGATTTTACTGTGTCTTTCCACATGTGGTCTACTTCATATGCACAGGAAGGAAGGTTTACCTGAGGAAGCGACACCACTGTCATTGAAGGGCTCGCCTTTGATGTAGTTGAATTCTTCCTCGGAATTCAGGGACGCCAGACGGGCCCCGTAAAGGCGGGCACACAGTCGGTCGGCGTCAGCCCAGCTCACTGTCTCAGCAACGAAAATGTAGCAGGATTTGAAGTCATCATTACGCACGAAACAACTGGGGCACGGGTTCACTGGAAAATAGCAAAATGGCTGATCTCTTCAATCTTGTCAAAACTTTTTACATACGGACGTACGCGCGCACGCACACGCATACACACACACACGTTTGCACCCGCGTGCGCACATAAACTTGTTTGTGTATATGTTATAGGCCTGACAGAAATCGCAATCTCGTTTACAAATAACCAAGATGGTCTGGATTACTATAGAAATGTTCACCCTAGTATAAAAGGCCCATAATCTTTGCTGATATAATTATTTCATACCAATTATGCACGAGAAATTTATGAACATAAATCCGTTTACTATTTGGAATCATTGTGGTGCAATTTGATAAATCTAAAATGGTCACCAACTGTCAGAGAAATAGCTTTTAAATCTGAGAATGGCTTCAAAACTTAGTTTACCATTGCATCTGTGATCCAGTTCCCACAGCAGGTCCTTGGCGTTTTGTAAGTCGGCTATAGCCTCATCGATTGCCGCGTGCTGTTCTGCGAGAATCTGCATGCTCCTCTCATGAGGTGGACACTTTAAGTATTCGACTGCAACAGAAACGAAAGTTCCAAATTCGCAATAAAGTCACAAAAGAAGGGAATAATGTTAAATAATGGTGACATAAACTTGACCTCTCTTCCACTTTGAGTCTCTCAATCATTACCAATAAAGCTAGGTGGGACGCGACGGAGAGTTTCACATGATAGAGAGTCCGGTTCCCGTTAATTTGCTCAGGTAAACCTCGTCCTACATTTTGAACCACTTACGTCAGGCTAACCCTAACCTGTATAATTAAATGGAGTTTGGACTCTCTGTGGCACGAACCCTCAGTTTCGTCACACCTGCTTACCATTTTTACAAGCTGTCGCGATCAGTTCCTGTGTCTTGGAGATCAAATCATTGAAGTTCTTTGTGATAAAAACGTAGCTGTCGAATGGTTCCGAGGCGATCAACTCAAGATTGTCTCTGAAACGACAATTAAATTCAACTCATTAGGGATTGGTGGAAAGCAACGCTGCAAGTCGTACTGAAATGTAGTATTTTTGAAAAGATTTGTATTGTTCATGTGTATGGGGGATCACACACAAGTTGAAAACAGAAACAATGGTAATGAACAATAATCCGCTTTCTTCAACCATCAAAATTTGCGACGAGGAACAGGTTTTGTATTTCTCTAGTGTGTCTGCCGAAAGTGATTCCCGGGACGACCAAAACCATGACAATACTAATCTGAGAGCTTTCTTTTCTATAATGGACGGCTGCAAATCAAACTGGTATGTCTACGTTCCAGATTTAAGTGCTGTTTGAGTGTCATTTTCGGCTAATCAAAAAATTTTAAATACACAGCAATGGCTGGAAAAACAAAATTGTTTCTTATAATAATACAAATCTATCCCTTTTCACATGAAAGCACGCCCATTGTAATCCAACACATAGGAATATTTTGACAGGTTTTCAAAGATGATACCCTAATATGTTACCAAGGACTGTGGACATGCAGATATAAAAAGATTTTGACTTTACCTTCGGATGGAGTTCCCGACCCCTATAGTCATGATCTGGATCCCGTCAGCCTTCAGTTTATCAGCGTTCGGAACCGTTAATTCTTTGTCAGAGTTTGGTTTACCATCACTAATGAGAATCACCATCTTTGCGTCAGTCTCGGTTCTGGGGCTTGCATGGAAGACGCTATGAACGACGGCCAAGCCCCCCGAAGTGTTGGTTCTACCGCCCAACTCATTCTTAAATGTTTTTTCACTCATCAGACCGATATGATCCAAAATGGCTTGCTTTTCTGTAATCGCAAAACAAAAAACAAAAAAAAAAAAAAAAAAAAAAGAGTTAAATTTAGCCTCGCCACGAAGACTTCGGATACTTCGGATTACTGTGGTAAATATTGGACGATATCGAAGCGTACTTTTATAAAGCACATGCATTGTTTCTATATATTGGGTATGTCAGATACAATAAGACAAGATAAGATAAGGTAAGGATTTAATTAAACGAATTGAAAATTCATATATAACGTAAATTTAAT